TGCTGGGAATGGATTGGGGAGAGGCAGCAGGGGCCACACTCCATTTGAGAGAGCACGAGTGTAGGCTCCCTAGTCCATCAAGTGAGATCAAGACTGCCCGCCTGTTTCATGTGTCAGGTGTAGACAACACCTTGGCACATTGCTGTCTCAGTGCTCCCGCGTTCGCGCGAGTAGTGAAGAAGGAGCCATTAGAGGAACAGGTCTTTGTAGTTTATGTTAGACCAGTCACCGGGGCTAAGGAAGAGGTGACTTCCAGAGATCTAACTATAACCAAGCTGTTGGAGGAATTCAAAGACTTGACTGAGTCGCCGACAGGAGTAGTGTCGCGACCCATCCAGCACAGGATAGAAATAGAGCCTGGCAGTAGAACTCCTAAGGGCACAGTTTACAGGATGTCCCCTAGAGAGTTAGAGGAGCTTCGCAAGCAGTTAGACGAACTCCTTGAGAAAGGTTGGATCAGGCCCAATTCGTCTCCTTTTGGAGCACCAGTCCTGTTTGTCCCAAAGAAGGAAGGAGAGTTGCGTACGTGTATAGACTATAGGGGTTTGAATGCGATTAACGTGAAGTATGCTGAACCGCTGCCCAGGATAGACGAGCTCCTAGATCGGGTGCAGGGTTGCAAGTACTTCTCTAAAATAGACTTGAAGTCCGGATACCAGCAGAAAGAAGTCCATTCTGATGATCAGTACAAGACTGCATTCCAAACTCGTTATGGGCACTAGAGTTTATAGTGATGCCCTTTGGACTGACCAACGCGCCAACCACATTTCAGCGTTGTATGAATGACCTGTTTAGGCCATGGTTAGACAAGTTTGTGGTAGTCTACTTAGATGATATCTTAGTTTTTAGTAAGACCCTCCAGGAGCACCAAGGTCATATGAGGCAGGTCTTGGAGGGGTTGAGAGAGTCAAAATTCAAGATCAACGCAAAGAAGTGTGAGTGGGCCAAGACACAAGTCCTGTACTTGGACCACGTACTAGACGGAGATGGCATTAAGCCATAGGACAGCAAGATAGCGACAATCAGAGACTGGCCGGCGCCCCGCACATTGACAGAGTTGCGGTCGTTCTTAGGCCTAGGTAACTACTATAGAAAGTTCGTGCAGAACTTTTCTACTATCGTCGCTCCCCTGCGCAGGTTGCTTAAGAAAGAGGCAATCTGGCAATGGGACAAGGATTGTACATCGACGCTCAAGAGATTAAAGCATGCACTAATAGAGTACCCTGTCCTCAAAGTAGCCGACCCGTCTTTGCCTTTGGCGTCACCACGGACGCAAGTCAGAATGGGATAGGCGTTTTGTTGCAGCAGGATGACGACAATGGCTATAGACCCGTAGAGTTCATGTTAGCGAGGATGCCCTCAAAGAAGGTTGCCACCTCGACGTACGAGAGAGAACTCTACGCTCTCAGGCAGGTTTTAGAGCACTGGAAGCATTACCTGCTTGGGAGGCACTTCAAAGTGTATTCTGATCATGAGACCCTTACATGGTTAAAGACCCAGGCCAAGATGACACCTAAGCTAAATCGGTGGGCCGTTGCGATAGACCAATACGACTTTGAGCTCAAGCCAGTAGAGGGCAAGTACAACGTAGTTGCAAGTAGGAGATCAGGCTACTTTGGAGCCATAGTACACTATCTGGATATAGGGAGAGACGTGCAGGAGAAAGTGCAACAAGCGTATGCGCAGGACCCTATCTATAGCGACCTCCCAAAGAGAGTTAGAGAGGCCCTAGAGACTTAGCCAGATTACCACACTATGGACGGATTGCTGTTTGAGAAGACTAACGTATTTGACCGCCTGTGCGTTCCCAACAGCGAAGAGATCCGCAGTTTGATCCTAGGGGAATGCCACAATACTGAGGGACATTTCGATTGGCAAAAGACATTAGCCAACCTAATGCATGCGTATACCTGGCCAGGAATGAAGAATGACTGCATAGAGTATGTCCGCAGTTGCAAAGTATGCCAACGTGATAAGACTACTACACGCGCACCCCTAGGTCTTCTCAGACCCTTGCCTATTCCGGATCAGCCGGGAGACTCAGTGTCCATAGACTTCATGGACACCCAAGTCAAAAGCAGACATGGCAAAAGCCAAGTTGTGGTCATAGTTGACCGATTTAGTAAGTACGCAGTTTTTGTTCCCTTGCCTGCAGAGGCACGTACATACTTAGTTATACAGAAATTCTTTGACTTTTGGGTTTGTGAGAATGGAATCCCATTGTCAATAGTTAGCGATAGAGATAGTCGTTTCACCAGCCAGAACTGGCAAGAACTCATGAGAGTCTACGGATCTAAGTTGTTAATGTCGTCCGGCCACCATCCAGAGATCAACGGTAAGACAAAACAGATGAATAAGATCCTACAACAAGTTCTGCGCATGTACATTAGACCAGACCACATCAACTGGGATGAGATGTTGCCTAAGGTAGCTAGTGCATACAACAACATCGTGCATCTATCCACCTGACACACTCCCAATGAGCTGCACAAGTCCTTTAGACCACGCTAACCGTTCGAAGGACTGAACTGGGATCAGATTCACAGACTACCGTCCGGTACCACGGACTTTGCGATATAGCATGAGAAAGAATTAGCAACTGTTGTTGAGAACCTCAGGAAGGCCCAGCATAGAATGGTAGAGCAAGCTAATAAGCACCGCCGCCCGTTCAGGTAGGCGACTTAGTCTGGGTCAAGGCTAAAGAGTTTGCACCTGAGGAAAACATCTCACAGAAGTTACTGCCTGCATATAGAGGACCATGGCCGGTTCTAGAAGTCAAGGGCGGAGAAGATGGACCGTCCTACACTATTGAGATTCCAGCACACCTCCACACCTACCCTTGGTGTTCCATGCCTCAAAGTTGTTGCCGTGTGTCACAAGCCAACAATTTCCTTCAAGAAGGTCCATGATCCCCCCGGATACAGATGGAAGCTATGACATAGAGGGCATTGTAGATGAGGATGTATTTAGAACAGGAGGTAGAGGTCGTCCCCAAAGGCAATACAAAGTTCGGTTCGCCTATCAGGAACCGGAAGACGATCGCTGATTTACGCGAACAAAACTTCTAGCGACAGCTCCCGACATAGTCAGAGCCTATGAGCGCGACAAGAAGGGTAAAGGTCTGCCTTGGACTGAAATATTCTCGGAGGACCTCGAATTTAGGACGGCGGGAGTGAAACGGTTTTCACCTTTTAGCAGTAACAGATGCAGTACCCAGGGTTCGATCCCTAGACCTCACCCTACCTATGTACAGTGTCGGTGTAGACCCCGAGAGTTGAACCTGTGACCTGTGTATTCGTAGACAGTTGGTAGGTCTGTCGTAGGTCCATTGGCAGCAGGGGTTCGATCTGTAGGTCTATAGAGTAGAGGTCTTAGCAAGTTCCAGAAGTCTAGTTGTAGTCCTTCTAGAAGGTCGGCAAGTGGGCAAGTGGTCAAGTGGCGAGGCAAGTGGTGGACTAAACTGCAGTGCAATCACAGTACGACCTCGGTAGGATAGCAGTGAGTCTACAGTCAGTCAACGGTAAGGTCCAGTCAGTCCCAATCCGGTCCAGCAAGTACCACGGGGGACTGTGAGCACCATGGGCCGATGGCAAAGGGAAGACCAACGAGTTTCCGAAGCATAAATCAAGAGGCAGCGCCCAGCCTTTCATTGATTCCTGCGTGAGCCATGCGGAAGCGCTGTCACGGCGACTTGTGCAAGGAGGTCTGCAGTGAGCCCGNTCAAGAGGCAGCGCCCAGCCTTTCATTGATTCCTGCGTGAGCCATGCGGAAGCGCTGTCACGGCGACTTGTGCAAGGAGGTCTGCAGTGAGCCCGGGCGAGAGAGAAGGAGCTTAGTATAGCGATAGGGTAGAGGCAGCCATAGCTGCCATAGCTGTAGTTAGTGTGAAGTGTGAGTGTGTATGTTTGAGTGTTCAGAGTGACGCGTGTGGGATATCCAGGGTGATCCGGTGTGTGTGAACAGTGAGTTGTTTGGGCGCTGAGTCGCCATAGCCAGTTGAAAGTGAACTTGTATCTGGAAGCCATATCTCTGAGTTTAGAGTGGGCGCATGTCGCCAGTTTGCTGCGCTGCTGTTTACATGCATGAAAAGTGTGAATACGAACGAGTCTGATTGCACAACCAGCGGCGCGTACTCCAAAACCGCGCCCGGGACGCCCTTGCCGCACACCGACTCGCTCGCTTTGACCCGCCGACCGCTGCCATTGAACA